AGATTAGTATTACTGCAATATTCTTTTTTATTGAATCTTACCCACAAAAATGAAACCCAAGCAGCAATTAAAAGCGAAATATTACACCTCGGATGCACCAGAATTGGAAACAATAATATCCGGCTATGAAATATTTCCCGATAGATATAACAACAAAAGAGAGGATAGAGGAACATGGATATTTAGACAACCCACTGTTGCACCGTGCTATAATGTTTTGCTTAAAAATGCGGTCTTATTAACAGAGAATATGACGGCAAACGTGTTTGCCTATATCCAACAAAAGAGAGAAAGTTTAAAAGGCGAGATTTACTGGTTCTCTCCAGAAAAAGTGGCGAGCACACTAGTAAAGGCTAACGAAGGGGTGGTTAAGACAATAAAAAAAAAAAATATCTCAATAGAATTAACAAATGTTACTGAGCACAGAATAACATTGCATCATGACACTTTCCTGGGCATAGTAACAAAAGACAAGAAAAATTTGGAACTTAAAAAAAATAGAGCAATTCCCGGAATAAAAAAATCATGTAAATCAAAATGGAAGCCATCAAAGATCTTTAATAACAAAATGTTAAAGCAAATTTCTCCTACCAAGTGTGTAACCCTACCTAATGTAACAAACCAAGACCATAAGATATCAAGACCATACAATATAAAAACAGCAGGTGGTAATAGAAAGGGCGCAAGTGAGCGAAAAAGGCTGAAACGCCAAATGCTTAGGGGTAAACCTGCCCCACAATTTGTTAATGTGCCAACCATACTACCGCCCATTAATGTCAATGAAAGAGATGTGCATCTACCATTTTATTGTACTGCACTCGGGAGATGTGATTCGTGCAAAGCACTAATTACTAATTACTAGTTACAGGTAATAAAAAATCCCTTCTCTCTACCTCACGGAGCTAACCTGAAGGTGGAGAAAGCCGATTTGGTAAATTTAGGTAGTAAGTCTCAATTATTATATTATCATTTATTATATTATGAGTTAGCATATCAACATTTATCATGTATTATTTTATCAGAAGAAGACCAAGGTTGTACATATGTTAAATGTAATTATTAATTTTTTCATGTTAAACTAGTGGCGAAGTGCTCCGCCACATCTCAGACGAGACCATGGAAATGCACATAAGCAATGAGGCCATGCAGTTGCTATCAACCCAGGAATGGCTCAGCGACGAAGTGATAACAGCGTACTCCGAATTGTTCCAACAAAGGGCGACTAGAGAAACCAACCTCCCTAAGATAAAAACCTTGGACACCTATTTCTTCACATCGTTAACAAATAGAGGTCCAAGTGCCGTGCAGGGCCGGTTCAAGAAATGCAACATCAATGAACTGGAATTAGTACTCATTCCAGTTCATTACAACAACAATCATTGGGCATTGGCGGTGTATGACTTGAAAGAAGGCTCAATCTATTGGATTGACAGCATCCCCGATGACAAAAGCACCGAACTGGAACTACTCCGGAGCGCTGGAAACACACTTTTTGGCAATAGAGCATGGTACTTAGCAGAGGTGGACGCCCCTTGTCAAAACAACTCCTGGGCCTGCGGAGAGTTCACGTGTGCATACGCAGAGTCAGTGGCGCGGAGGGCTCCAATTGACTTCGAAACTGGCAATCTAAGGGACCAACTGAGGCTGCAAATTGCACAACGAAAAGCAAGCCCATTCTCAACCGGACAACCATACAGTGGAGTTCTACGCAACCTCTACAGACCTCGGCAACAATATCCGCCATCGGCCTACAAAGAGATAGAGGATGTTTGGATAACCAAGCGCAATCTCATCGAAATGAGAAAATTCCTCCAAAAAACTACACAAAGAAAATCGAGGTTTCTTCTCAAAACGGGAATAAACGAAGTGCGGTTATCAAAAAGACATTATATTGATTCTGAAACGATTAGAACGTAATACTAGTGGAGTGTAATAATAAGGACACTAAACTTCTTAGTCCGCAAGTGGGACGTTAACTTCATTAAAAAATTTGTGACTCAGTTTTGCGTCCGGGGGGAGTTCGAACGGTCGTTGGCCATTTTGGCCAATTGGCAATTTCCGAATATCAAGATCTCTCGGCCCCGTTCATCCGTAAATTTCAGGACAAATTGAATTGGTGGTATATCTCATGCTACCAAACACTATCAGAGAGTTTTATTCGTGAATTTCAAGATAAGTTTGAATGGATGGCACTACTTTATGATACGAAGCAACATTTTCTTTGTACACATGAGTTCTTGCAGGAATTTAAACGCAAACTGCCGGTGAATACAATCCGAAGGACACTGCTTTTAATAAAATTACAGAGAAGAGAAAAAGAGAAACTGTATCACCCGGACACGTGGCCTGCCGATCCTGTTATGCTTACCTCCGGTTCCCGTTTATCGATATCGAGAGAGGTTGGTTTTCTATTCATTTGTTTTTCCGTTTTGTTAAAAAAAAAATTTTTTTTTTCTTTTTTTTCGAAACTGAGGGCTTTTTTTTCCTTCTGTGTTACAGTTGATTTTTCAAAATTGCCAGACGAATGGTTCTCCGAGAAGATGCATTGCCTGCGGCCTTGTTGAGTTTTGTTTGTGTTTTTTTTTTCTGTTTTTATGAAGCTGTTTCTATGTCTTTTCTACAAATGCAAAGAAAAAAAATTGAAGATTCTAATTTTTTTTCAATGCTCGACTCCCTATTTTACCTTAAAGGAAGTTCCAAATTTTTGAACTTTGTTTCTTAGTGATTTTTAAAGAGACAACTTTACGAATTTCGTCTTTCAAGCTATGTAGTCGCATTTCTTTCCTGCTCCCATTCAATGCTGTTACTTAAAAATTTTCTTTTTCGGTTTTGCCGAATTTCAGAATCAATTATCTTGGTTCCTAAAGAACTTCTCTCGAATAGTAGTATAAATCCGCTATTGAAATCCAAACGCCAATTATTCCCATGACATCGGTATCACTACCCACTCTCGTCGAAGAAACAATGGTAAAAGTGAGGCCCACGGAAATAAACATTACTTCACATTTACTCCCCATGAACATCCACCTCCATGAAGTCGTGGAGACGGGAAGAAAAATTAGCGAAATTAAAAATTTACTAGATGCGGCAGAAATTAACAGGCTACAAACTAGCCACGATAACGACGAATTACTTTTATACGAGATAAAGATGAACCCTCGGAAGTTCCCATCAGAAAATGTGTGATTTTTTTCAATTTTTCATCCCTGTTTATGGATATTGAAGACCTGTTCACCTATCCAGGGGCTCAAATTTTTAGAGTCTACCTCTAGATAGCTTATCTATTTGGTAAAGATGACTCCCTAAAAGTTTCAGTACAAACATTTGTGGTTTTAATAATTCTTCAATTTTGCATCCCTATCTAAAAGTTGGGAAGACCCCCTTTCCCACCCAGGGGACCCGAGTTCTTCCTGGTTCCGGAGGGGGGGGGGGACAATAGGCCCGTGGCCATCATCGTCTCCCGCTCGCTCCTCCCTGGTACCGGTCTGCTGAACGCGACAAGGGAGGCCCTCGAGATCCCACCCCCGAGCGGGGGCACCAGCGGGAAGAAGGGGAAGAAGAGGGAGCACCAGGGTGCCGAGGAGGGCCCGAGTCGCGTCAACGACCCCCTCTTCCCCCGTCTCGACTCGTCGAATCCGTGCGACGTGGGGCAAATCCTAATAAGGAGCCTCAGAGAAGGATTCGCTCGAGATAACCGGCTTCGGCGTCGTGAGTTGATGACTACGAGATGCATAAAGACCCGGCTGGCAAACATGGCGTCGGAGCTGCCCGATCGCCGGGACGCAGAGGCTCTCAACGTCCACCTGGATCGCTCGGAGACTATGAGCGCACGGTACTACAAATCGGCAGATCCAACTGTGGCTCCTCGGGCTTTCTTCGTACCCTACCAATGGTTCGTACCCTAAGGCCAGAAGAAGAAACTAAGGGCAGAGAAGAAACGCCACTAACACAGACAGGGATCCCGGCGGAACTCGTGCGAGGCATAGCGCAGTTCGGAGCTTACGCGGCGACAGAAACCATCCTGCGCGTTTATTTACGTGTTCCTTTATTTTTAATTTTTTATCCAGACAGACTCCTTGTTCATCCGTGGATTACTTCCGTTGTGCGCTTCGATTGCCTCAATTTACTTGTTGTATTTTTTCCATTTAATCTCATCGCTTTACGTGTTTTTTTTTGTTTTTACTTCCCATTATTCAGTGAATTTTATTCGGTATTTTATTTTTTTATTCATATAATTTAAACATGCTTTTCCCCGAGTTTTTATTTATAACAGTCGTATACATCATCGCGCTGATGTATGAATCACTCCGAGATTTTACATCGGTCCGAAATGAGGCTTTCCGCGCCCCCTCCCGACGACGACCATTCAATCGACCTTTATCACCGATTCGCCCCGTGGCTCGAATATCCCCGGTCAGAAACGAGCTGCTGAACAATGTGTATCGTCGAGATGCGCTTTTAATTCACTTACCGCGCTTCTTGAGCGAAGTGGTATTTTACATAAATGAGGGTACCATTTCGGGGGGGGACGGCAATGAGCGGATCCTAATTAGGAATCCACAGCCTCAAACTGCGCGCCCGAAAACTCCCCCTCTTCGAAATGTCGATCGTCCAGACATGGTGCATTCTACAAATCTGTGGCGGTCGATTCATAGAATCCAACATCATTGTCCAATAGACGTATCCAATGATCTGGAGGGTGAAGAAGCACGGATTCGAGCCATCGAAATGACTCGAATTCAGCGAGAGGAGGAAAATGCCGCGATTCAGTTCGAAGTGACTGAAATCGATCGCGGGGATTGTGTCTGTAAATTAGTGCGCCTATGAATCAGTCTTAAAATATTTAGATGAAGCACAAAAAACTTATCTATTGACCTAGGTACTGGCACTTGAATCAGTCTTAAAATTTCCATTGAAGCAAAAATAGACACTTATTGGTAGAACTGATAGTACACTTTGAGCATTTCGTTGATTTGGGAGATTTCCTGGTATTCTTCTTCTGATAATCGCGTACTATACTCTGGCTTTTCCCCATCCAGGTCGTCGTAGAATTCGTGAAATGAGACAACTTCATGGCCAGTATCCTGCAAACGTTCCTTCTCCCACTCTGCTTCTCTTTGCAATTGGTCGCGCTTATTCTCGAAAAGTTCTCGCGTCTTGGCCAAAGACTGAAACAGATTTTTGAGCATTAGGCTACACACAACACCAGCCAGTGTTGGATTATTACCATCCCGCTTCTCCTCGCCTAGAAGCCAAGGTTTGTGGGTATTTTAGGGATCTGGGGTTAACACTAGGAGGTCATTCGGAGAGTAGAGTTAGAGGCATTGCAATTGGTGGAAGCTAGCCGGGTATCGATCTTCGTTACTCACATCGAGTGTTTGTTCCTCTCGAATTTTTTGTTTAGTTAGAGTTTTAGTAGAATTTTGGAGTTTTAGTAAATTTGATAAAATTTTTGGTAAAATTTAGTAAAATTTGATAAAATTTTGGAGCTTTAATAAAATTTGATAAAATTTTAGAATTTTGGTAGAATTTTAGAGTCTTAATAAAATTTTAGAGTTTTAGTAAAATTTAGTAAAATTCCTGAAAATTTCTCTCCCTTAACAGTGTGATCTTAACGTGTTAATTCTTCATTTCTGACTTTCTTTGCTCTGTGAACTTAGCGAAAAATAGTTCGCCCCCGATACTGCAGCTCAGTTGCGGACTGTGAATAGCCGTCACCGAATTTTTTTTCAGTGACTTCGCGGTTCAAAACTGTAGCTTGGCTACGGACTGTGAATTGACGTCATTAAATTTATTTAGTGACTTCGCGGTTCAAGGCTGAGTAAGTCTGTAACTTCGACTAAGGTGATTTGACTTCGCTAACGTCTTGCAGGATTCTGAGGGGTGGAAATTGAGAATTGACACAACCACGGCGTTTCCCTTACAGTGTTACCCCCCCCCGATTGGGGTTTGTCAAAAAGGGACAAAAATTTGAAAATCGCCAATAAATTACTTGCTGAATTAAATGAACTTTCGATCACAATATCGGAGTTACTAGAAAACAATAATAAACTATCAGTATTTCAAAAATTACACGCGAAATTTATAGCACAAAAACCAAAATCACGATCAAACAATTACAAAACAACGAGTGGTAACAGAATGAATCGTACTAGACGTAGATTACAAAAGTTGCGCCTCCTGTCCTAAGAGTGAACTCAAAATTTCAAATTTTAATTTCTCAACTTTAAATTTTTTTTTCTCTTCCCTTCGAAATTACCGCATTAATTTTCATCAAATTATTACATCAGCTGCTCTCAATCATCTTTTAACTCTCCGAATTACCTTGCGAATCTGCGTGTCACTATTGATTTTTTTGCTCCCTCTTCTTCCTAGAACTTGATATCTCTTATCGTTCTTAAGTGTTTTATGTGTATTTATTTTGAGTCTTGTTTCCTTGGAATAACGTGTGTCTATTGGCTCTCGGCGGTCTTTCGCGGCGTGTGGTTTTAATTTTTGAGATGTTTCCTTCCGAATTCAAAGGCACCGGGCGAGGGTGGCATGAAGTATTAACAGTGCTCCGTGAAGCACTGTTGTGGTGTAGCCCCTGCGAGCTGAAGCCCTACGCAAAAAACATCTGCTGATCAGTTCGGAGCTTACACGACGACAGAAAACATCCTGGCCTGGTTTATTTACGTGTTCCTTTATTTTTAATTTTTTATCCAGACAGACTCCTTGTTCATCCGTGGATTACTTCCGTTGTGCGCTTCGATTTTCTCAATTTACTTGTTGTATTTTTTTTTCCATTTAATCTCATCGCTTTTCGTGTTTTTTTTTGTTTTTTTCTTCCCATTAATCAGTGAATTTGTTCGGTATTTATTTTTTTATTCATATAATTTTAAACATGTTTTTCCCCGAGTTTTTGTTTAAAACAGTCGTATACATCATCGCGCTGATGTATGAATCACTCCGCGATTTTAGACCTGTCCTAAATGAGGCTTTCCGCGCCCCCTCCCGACGACGACCATTCAATCGACCTTTATCACCGATTCGCCCCGTGGCTCGAATATCCCCGGTCAGAAACGAGCTGCTGAACAATGTGTATCGTCGAGATGCGCTTTAAATTCACTTACCGCGCTTCTTGAGCGAAGTGGTATTTTACATAAATGAGGGTACCATTTCGGGGGGGGACGGCAATGAGCGGATCCTAATTAGGAATCCACAGCCTCAAACTGCGCGCCCGAAAACTCCCCCTCTTCGAAATGTCGATCGTCCAGACATGGTGCATTCTACAAATCTGTGGCGGTCGATTCATAGAATCCAACATCATTGTCCAATAGACGTATCCAATGATCTGGAGGGTGAAGAAGCACGGATTCGAGCCATCGAAATGACTCGAATTCAGCGAGAGGAGGAAAATGCCGCGATTCAGTTCAAAGTGACTGAAATCGATCGCGTTACATCCGAAAGAGAAGAAGAGGAGAGACAGGGAAATTTGGCGCCCATTGCATCTCTGCCCATCATATCCAGCCGACCCGGATCACCTACTGATAGTTTCAGGAGATTCGTATCAATGTCATCTCCCAGGCAAGTTTCAGTGCAAAAATGTTACAGCAAATTTCTCCTGAGGCTCAATTTGATTACTGCTGTAAATGGTTTCATTTCAATGAAGAGTGCTCTTCTTTAATTCACACTGCTGTGTTTGTCATATACTATGTGCAATGCTTCCTTAAACAAAATGGCAACTCATTCCGAGTCGGGTTGAACGCGAACCTGGACGAATGCCGCCGTTATTTTTCAATGACAATGTTGCATCACCCAAACACACTTGATCATGGGTGCGTAGTTTGCTTTAAGGACGTGATAATAGAAATAAATCGTGGGTGGGCTCAATTTGATTACTGTTGTAAATGGTTCCATTTCAATGAGAAGTGCTTCGGAAGCTACAGATTTTCAGCGCTTGCAGATGAAGAGGATTTTATATGCACCATCTGCAAGTTAAACGCAGATCTGTATGGAAGACCAATCAGAGAGGAAGAAATTATTTCTATGTAATAATAATACATTGAATACTTCGCATAGGAGGAAAACTAGTATGCATCCCATAACCAACGCCATAAAACCACGACAAATAAAAAAACCATAACCTACATGTTACATAACTACCTTGCCCAACAGCATTCATGTGATGATCGTATGGTGAGCGCAAAGGAATGGGAAACTCTCAGTAACAGCAACTATCTTGTGCATTTCAAGGTTCTCTGCACTGATCAAAATGTTTTTTTGTCAACTTTATATCAGAGTTCCTGGACTTCAAGTCATAACTCGAAAGAACCTTTGCACCAAACCTCACTAATATATTTGTAATCCAATTAAAAACATTTAGTATTGATGAAGGCTGTTATAACTTATTATTAGATGAATTATTAAAATTCCTCTGTTGAAATCTAGACTGATCGATTGGGAAGAAGAAGGGCTAGCTCTGACGATGAGAGCTATGAAGATAATGGAAGCGCATATGATGACACGCAAAACTTCTGACGTCAAAGTATAACCGGGACGACAACAACGCCACAAAGGGGAAATAATTCTCAAAATAGTAATGAATTCTGCAGTAACCCCATTAGCTAGATTTTTCGATTCCCATTTGCGGCTTGAGAGTTCCTATTGGTGGATGTCGACAGACCAGAGGACATTAAGACAAGCCTTAAAGTTACCACAATACAATGTAAGTAGACTGTCGATTTTAGAGATATTAAATCACATACATAAAATACAACCGGAAAAAAATTCTTTTCGCATCCGACAATCCAGGTGAATATTATTTTTGCATAATAAAATCGTTTGAAATTTGTTGCGAGCTTTTGATCCATCAGGTAGGTTTCGATGATATTATATTTTGTAGATCCCTTTGAAAGGAAGTGGTCACGCTGTATTGCCAGCTATTTTAAAAGCTTCTAAGTCTATCATTGACATCCAAAATAGTGATGATGAATGTTTCAAGTGTTGTATTCTAGCAAAAATAGCAAAATCATTGCATACCATATTTTAACACAAATATCCTGGCTACAAGGGTGTTGTAAAGTACAGTTTTTTCCTCTTGTATTACCACACCCCCCTCCCCCATCTACATTCATCCCTGACTGGTGGACGCCCCTATTTGTCATTCGCACTGAGTGCTAGGTCCTAGACCAAGCACCCTCATAAGTGGACCCTTATAGAACTGTAGTGCGAGACACTTTAATCACCATGTAGATGATCAAGAAATGGTCAGAAAAGGGTTAGAAGAGAAGACTAAGTCCCTGATTCTGTTGATGTGGTCTATTTATTCTATGCCACTCCTATCAATATTAATGGGTAATCTCAGTTTCACCAAGCATTTTAGCTACAGCTTCTTAGGACCTGGGTAGAAGGATTTGTCATTGAGCTGTCATTGCCATTTATTTTAGTTTAAGCAGAATTTTCAAATCTCAACACACAAAATGGATGGTCAGCGTTTCGTGTCAAGAGGTTTCATCAAATGGAATTTGGTCAAACGTAAATGTGTCCAAAAAAAAGATGTCCAAAGAGATTACGCAAAATAAAATTTGTCCAAGGCACATTTTGTCAAATGTCAGTGTGTCCAACAAAAAATTCCGATGAAAGTTGTATGGTAATATTTTTTTAAAAAAAGTATATATGTATAATAACAATCATATGGAGAGAGAAGATGCGAGTTGACAATGCGCTCTCATAGAAGCGGATCTATTAATTTTGTTTCTGTTAGAGTTAAATTTTCAGTTAGAAAATCTTGAGTATACAGTAAGTTTTACAAAATGGTAGCCAGTTTCTATGTTAATACATGGCGTTTTATTGAAAACCTTCAAAATGATCAGCATGATAATGAGACCCTCGTAATGCAAAGTGAGGGTGGACACAGGAATGTTGAGGCCAAGATCACGTCCACACCATTGTAACAAACTATGATGATTAAAGGAGTTGTAACATTCTTCTGACATATCGACGTGCAGTTGCGTACCACCTGAAATTAAATGTAAACCCACAACCTTCGCACTTCCTGACCCTCATGCTGAACTACCAGCAGAACCCTCACCGAATAGAGGAAAATTTGAGAAATTTTTTTTTACTTCTCTGCATATATTTTTTTACTGTATTCTTACCAATGTTCCAGCAATAGACGTATTATGTTTGGACTTTATTGATTGGACCTATCGTGTCCTGGACAACTTTATGAATGGTCTAATAATATTGTGGACAAAACCGCCTCGTGAACGTATTTTCATTGGACGAAACCTCTGTGACTAACAGATTTTATTTTTGAAGACACTGATAATAACCAAGCAGATTGATTGACCATCTTGATTCAATGAAAAATTGATAATTTCATCCATAAAAGAATTATCTTTTCTTCAACATATTCGATTTATGATAAGCACACATGTATCTTATGACCTCCCTTTATGGTAAATACATAATTGAAAATCAAAATAATAAAATGTACCTAATTTCACTGGAAGTTATTGAGAGCACCGGCTTACTAATAATTCAGTGTGGGAGACAAAAAAGGTGAGTCACAACTAGGATTATGTGTTGTTGCTTTCAGCTTCTATTTCTTCCATACGAGAATAGACCTGCTTCAAATCTGTGGAGAAAAAAATATTCATTTTTACTTCATTTTAAAAAGTATCAAATATTACCGCCACTGGTACTGGACACAATTCTATGTGAAAGACAACTGCAAACAAGAGGTTGATTATTGATCAGACAATATTTGATCAACAACTTAGGCTACAAATTAAAATAGCTGATCGATGGCTAAAGAGCGAAACCACATATCCCCGTTTGCGACATTGCAGACTTCCAGTTATATTTCATTTTTTCTTTGGAAAAGTAGTCAAAACTTCTAGACTTTTCTTCCCTGTTCACAAAATATTCTCTGGAAATTTCAAGCTATACAGTTGACTTGTTTTCCTTTGAAAAAATAAAAAAGGAGCAGAGATTTTGAAACACTGCAATGAAAATACATGGTTTCGCAATTTAGCTATTGTAAAAAGGATTTTTACCTATAAAACTCGGGACATTGTTTGCAAAAAAAGAAGAAAAGAAAGATATTAAATTTTCACCCACCAGCCAACAGAAGAACTAGTTGCTGCTTATCAATATTGAAGCTTGTTGACTGCACAGAATTAGAGGATCTTTCCCATGTCTTCAACGCAACTTGAACAAAATCCCCTTCATCAGAGCACGATACGCCTTCCAGTTTGCTCAGCCGTAAACTGTTATTTGCTAGGTGAGTGGTGAGTTTTCCTACGTTATCGCAAAAAACACGACAAAGAGCGGAGGCATGCTCATGTGGGAAACCAATCTGTAAAACCAAACAATTAAATTAAATAATGCACACATGCATCTTTTCGAAATACTGATTCAGAAAGTACTGAATCTGAGAGAAATGAGAAAAAAACATCATCAGGAAAAATGAAATCACAGAGTATAATTTGTTAACCAGGTATAAGAAATTGTGATCAATCGAAACAATGGGCCTGTTGCAAACTTTTGCTAGGTACAGCAAAACTTCGAGTTGTTTCTGATAGAAAATGGCTCAACAATCACGATGAGCGCATCGGCAAATTCTGAAATGCACTCCTAACCTCTCAATCTGCATAGGAAATTTGCTGTTTTTTTAGCTTCCCTCTTCAAAAACGATACTACTGCACAGGTGAACATTCCGTTGGAGGAGTCGTTTCATTTAACCCTTTCACAAATAGCAATGCCCAACATATCCGGCGCTTCCGCGCGCAAATCGGAATCGGGAGCACAAGGTCGACCAAAGCGGATCTTTATCAACGTTAAGAAATCGAGAATATAAACACGCTCGGTTAGAATCTCGTCTAGACACATGTGTTTTGGCGAGTGGTGTCAGCCATGTTGAATATTGTGTAGTATCCTAGTGCACAGGGGTTGGCTAGAACGATTCTTCTAACGAGATGTTCACCTGTGCCGTGGTATCGTTTTTAGAGCGGGAATCTCAAAAACACCGAAAACTTACACAGATTGTGCAGTTAGGAGTGCATTTCAGAGTTTGCCAATGCGCTCATCACGATTGTTGAGACATTTTCAATAAGAAACAACTGTTATTTTTGCTCTGGCAAATGTTTGCAACAGGTCCACTGAACTTCTTGGAAAAAACGGATGCTTTTAGGAACCTTTTAACTACTCATCTTTTAGAGTTAGGTGGAAGAAGAGTAATAATCATCTATTCCATTCAAAAGTGAGGATAACTGATATTCTGCCGCATTCGTAAGGCAGTCAAATAATTTGGCAAGATTAGTAAAATTAAGTGTTTCTCCAAACATCCAGCTTCTTAGCCTCTGTTCTGTCACTCTATCAGAAAAAAGGGCACAGCTGCATTTTTACTTGGACCATGACAAAATCTGGGTACATTTTTTCCTAGTACAAGAACAAATGAAATCCTTTCAAATTAGTAAGAGCTAAAACTTAAACAGAAAAGTTGCTTCACATTAAAGGTGAAAACATAAAATAATCGCAAAATTTAGCTTGATTAAGAAAGATATTAACCATGGGAGACTTCTTTAGGATTTTGCGAACTTGGCAAAAAGAAATTTCTTGACATTTCACATGACAATGAGATTCCTTGACAATACCCTTTCTTCCACACCTGTAGTTACCCCAATTCTCTTGGAATGGGACAAAATTTACACATCAATGAGAAATGCAGAAAAATCAATTTTCCTACAAAATATGTTGATTAGATGTTAAAACTAAAACCAAAGGGTAAGTTTCATTTTTAACGGAATGTAAGAAACATTATTAGACACACAACATCCCAGAAATGAATAAAATCCATAATTTTCTTAAGGTGCATTCATTTTTCTAGTTTTTGACAGTAAAAAAGACAAATTCATACAGCGTCAATTTTCATTCTGAGGAGATTTCTGCGAGAATTTATAGACTGAGATATAACTTGGAGAGGCTAGAGACTTTTGGAAAGCGTACTCAGTTTTTTGAAAAATGCACTGATTTAAATTACCTTTAAAAAAATAAATAAAAACTATTTCCTGAAAATCAAGGAAGGAAAACTAACCTGTTGTAGCTCATTGCTAAGAGATTTTTCAGACACAGCATAGCGAGATGCACTAGTAATGATGAAGGCAATTGCAGCTACACATCCTTGCGAGTCTTTCTCATCTGAAAATTGGAAAAAGGAGTCATAAGTTAACAAAGGAAAGGAGAGAGAAAAGTCCAGTGGTTCGCTGCACTGCATTTATGTAAGAGATAAAAACAGTGAGGACAGGACTGTTTTATTGAACATAAATTCCTAGAAAAGTAGAATGTAGAGCAGGCTCGTGCATTGAACATTTTAGACAAAAGTTCCAAAAATAAAAACTCCAGATCCTATTGAAAGGAACCTTACAAAACAGCCTTCCTTAACTAAGGCACAAATTGATCGCCAAAGTGCCAAACAGACATGTCTCCATGGCAGTATTTTAAAATTTCCATTCCTACTTAATTTTATGGAGAGTAACTAATTGATCAGATACCTTGAAGTTTACATAGAATATTCTAAGTGCTGACAGGGAAGAAAAATCAAGACTGTTTCAAGAAATTGTGTCTAGAATTTCAAGAGAAAATTAAGTATAACAGGAGGTCTGCAACGTCACAAACGGAGATACGTGGTTATGCACTTGGGGCATCAATATTTCTTTTCTATTGAAATGTGACGTAATAAATGGCCAAGCTTATTTTTACAGACATATTCCACTGTCAACAGTTTTTGGATGGTGGTTCTGCATTGAAAAAAAGACAGGAGGTAGTGAAAAGAGGGCTCAGATTGCAAAATGTGTGTCTTCTAACCATCTTTTCACTGAACTAATTAATTTCTCACCTAATTTAGCTTCAGTTGTTATACGGCTCAGTTTTTCCTTCTGTAAAAAAGGGAAAAAACGAATAAGACTTAACAACTGAATCCATCAAAATTACAAAATGGAAGAACATTTTCATCTGGGGAAAACTGAAATGAATGAAAGAACCTCAGCATTTCTTGACGGTACCGTTCCATTTCAAACTAACAAAGAACGAGTAAAGATGACTGAGGAGAAAATAAATTAAAGAAGTCAAGCTTTAGATTGATGTTACTTTCTGGTCGAAAAGTAACCAAGAGTGCATTGCTTTTGGAGGACTTTTAAAACCGGGGGGGTCAGAGGATTTAGACAGACAAAAAAAAAAAAATAAAAAAAAAAATAAAAAAATCCAAAGATGGCCGTGGACATCTTATGAGTCTAAGGGATTCATCAGTTGTCTATTTTTCAATAATGCAATTTAAAAGGATGATGATATATAGACAAAAAATTGATTTGATACAAAACTATCGTTTGAGGATGAGAATGAATGATCCTGGATTGGAATGCAGCTTCTGAAACCGAGGTCGTCAAAACATCTGAGAAGTTTAGAAACTCATCGTTTAAAAAAAAAAAAAAAAAAAAAAAAAAAAAAGGCAGAGGGGGAAGGGAGTGGAATCTCATTTGTATCAGATGACTAGATCAATTTATTTTGTTTCATTCGGTCTTTGCTAGATACAGGGTACGTTTAGAGGACATAAGAATAGGTGGTGCCACTTACATCTATGTTTTCACCTAAGATGGATTTCACGACCAGGTTACTGAGTACTTTCATTTTAATAGAGGTCTGTAACAAAATAAACAGAGGAACAAATTATTGTCACCCAAAAAATGGTTTATGTAACTGGTGCAAAGCAACACTGTTTCAAAAGCCGCTTTCTCCTGACGATTGATCTCAAAGTACGCGAGTACGTTTCTCTGATTTCTTTCTATATGTATTATCTCGATAAGCAGAAAAATTCTATCCTAATTTGAATTTGCAGGTTTAGTCAAAAATTTCGTGTCCGACCTTTCTAATTGACTCGACCTACGGTGCGGCGCGAAACCATGGCGTTTTGAATTTGCGGAAAAGTTGCGCTTTTAAAACTGCGTACTTTTCGGTTTCTGAGTTACTTTTCCACTTTTTCAATTGGCGCATCGTGTTCAGCTGGTATTTTTCGGTTTCTTAGTTACTTTTCCACGTTTTCAATTGGCGCATCGTGTTCTACACGTCAAAATCTTCGAAAATCGCACATTTCGGTTAAAATTCGTTTATGGTTTAGTGACCCATTAAAGGAATTCTTCATTTTTCTCCGACACATTATCCCGACCAACTACCTAATTTTCTCCGCTGGTAGCCGACCTTAGCTAGGGCCTAGTCCCGGATCTTAAACTTTGGTCGAACTTTCGCGAAACTAGTCAGAGGAACCAGGTTCAACTCATCTGAAACTAGTTCGATGAAACGGCTCGGTTTGACGAACCACGACAAAAAGTTCGAACGTCTGGACGGCTCGATTAGTGAATCGCTATCGAATGACCTTGATCGATTATTCCCTATCTTACTAATGCTATATATCGATCAAGGCCATTCGATAGTGTGGCGGGAACGATCGATTATCGATATTTCCCCATTTGAAGATGTGGTAAAGAATCAATTATTATGGCGTTCGTTGCGAACACCCTGTTTATCGATCCTGTTTCACAAGTTTAAATGGTAGATCAATCGATATATCGCAAAACACGCCACGCCATTCAATAGCGATTCAATCGGGCCGCTCGACTGGGCCTGAGTAGAGAACAACCACGCTTAACAAACTTCCGCGGTAAACCGCTCAACGCAAAACGCACTATCCAGCGAAAGGCGAAGTTTGCTGTGCTGAAGGAAAACACCCTGCGAATATTCGGACTCGGTAAAATTTCTCCCGGGGAAATATTAATGGCACCAATCAGTGGCGGGGCGTGAGTTGCGATATATCGATTGTTATGCCATTTAAACCTATGGAAAAGGATCGATGAACAGGGTGTTCGCAGCGAACACCTTAATAATCGATTCTTTACCATAGGTTTAAATGGCATAACAATCGATGTATCGCAATTCACGCCACGCCACTGGCACCAATGGCAGCTGAAAATACACTTCAAGCGTTTGAAACCTAGCATTTTTGGATATTTTCTCGCAATTTCGTTGGATCTGATGGCATGTTCATAGAATCGATATCGACAGTAATACATATACTGGCACCAAAGGCAGCTGAAAATGACCTTTCAGTGATTAAAACCTAAATCAGATCTTGTAAAAATGCGAGAAAATTTACGAAGATATTAGGTTTCAAACGCTTGAAGGTTATTTTCAGCTGCCTTTGGTGCCGCATTATTACAGTCTTTACCGATTCTATAAACTTGTCATCACTCCCAATCTATAAACTTGTCATCACTCCCAATGAAAGTACGAGAAAATTTTCGAAAATCCGATGAATTTGCGAGAAAATTTACGAAGATATTAGGTTTCAAACGCTTGAAGGTTATTTTCAGCTGCCTTTGGTGCCGCATTATTACAGTCTTTACCGATTCTATAAACTTGTCATCACTCCCAATCTATAAACTTGTCATCACTCCCAATGAAAGTACGAGAAAATTTCCGAAAATCCGATGAATTTGCGAGAAAATTTACAAAAATATTAGGTTTCAAACGCAGCTGCCATTGGTGCCATTTTATTACAGTCGATACAGATTCCATAAACTTGCCATCAGATCCGATGAAAATGCGAGAAAATATAAAAAAACTGTTATGTATTTCGCTTATTAATTTGTTATTACGTATTATGAATGTTTCACCTATTCGAATGTTTAAACACTGTGTGCTGCGGCCGGCTAGCGCATACTCACGATACAATGATAAGAGGCAAGAGGAATAAATAAAAAGATAAATATATATACCTACTAAATAATAATGACAACCGAACAAGAAAATAGCAACATGAGCAAATAACAAAACACTAAACCGCAAACTTAACTACCGGACCCGACCTAACATTTTGTATGCTAAGGAGCTAAACGACAGAAGTTGGCCCAAAGGGCCAACTTCATTAGGGACTTAGATTTCTCGACGTCACGAATCCGCGATAGTTTTTCGAGTGGGAGCCACCTGAACCCACCTATGCATCAGGGTGGGATTGTTGACCAAGCCCAAGTGACTCTTGCCAAATCACTTCTGATTGGTCCCAATCACTACCCACGCTCATCAGTCCTCCAATCCGGGAGACCGATGAGTGCCTCGGAAATGCAAGACAACGGGAAAAAGAGAAACTGCATTCCACTGCACCTAGCTGCATATGGAACGTCGTCTGGGACTTTATTGAATCATAACCTCTACGCTACTCTGAACGCAGTTCTCTGGGACTAAACTACGTCACTGGGGACTTTACCAATAAAACCCAGTTGGGACATTACTGATCCCGCCTCGAAGTTATTCCTACGTTGCCAGCTGTATTATGTAATTTTCTCCATCAGATTATTATTTCCGTTCTACGACCGGCCGGTGGATAAATAATCGTCTATGGTTTGGGCGGTGATTTAATTGATGATCTTTCAATAATCTCTAAAAGCGGACGCGTATTTTGCTCCGTATAATATTGAATTTCAGTCACGAAGACTGTGTACATACCCAGCAATTAAATTTTTAAATACTTCCTGGCAGTTTTTGTATTGAGATAAGGCAGGTTTTGGAGTGCCATAAAATGACTCAAAGTTTGAGAGAGCTTTCGTAAAAATCCACACCAAAATTCTGAGGCAAATCAAAGAACATACAGCTCACTGACAAGACTATTGTCACTTCTGTGACTGATATTATAAGTCACAACAGATATTGGATATACTGCCATGCCTTAAGTATACGTGAGTGTTAAACGGGAGTGAAATGTCTCCTGGTGATTTTTAGCAATTTTTCAGGGGATTTTAAAAAGTTTATACTGTTCTTATTCTATGGTAATTTTGATAAATCGGTGCGAAGGCATCGTTTCTGCAGAAAATCGCATTACTCTGGTATCAATCGGCCGTTAAAAAAACTTTTAAAAAATAACTCTTAAATTTAAAAATGACCACTCTCAAAAAACCTGTTAAAATTCTCTTATTAGGAGACCCGTCTTGGCTAATTTTTAAGCGAAATTTACAAGCAGTAAAATTTAGGTAAAGAAAAATGTGATTACTTATATAGAAACTCTTAAAATATCAACGTAGTTTTTCAAAGCTAAAAATGTTTGCAAAATATGTTATAAATCTACACTGATATTTAGAGGGTTTTTTTTAACCCTATTTTTCTCTTAAATTTTATTTAAAAAAATAGCCGAAAACTAATTTTAAGAGTTTTTGAAGAATGTTTTAAAAGCAGGTCATTGCTAGTAGGGTAGTTGTTATTTAGATCACTAAAATACCGTTATATCATTTTTCAACAGCATAATTCTCATTATTACAAACATAAACAAATCAGGAAAAACGCGTTGAGTGAAAATGTATACGAAACAAAATCCGATGAGTGAATTATTAAATATAATCAGTAAACTAATTTGCAAAGAATCAAATTCATTTATAATTCCATTATTATGATGTCAACTGGCAACGCGATATTGGGTGACGTAGGCTAAAGTCCCTCCTGACGTAATATTGTCTCACCGCTGTCTTCACATTTACGAGCGAGAGTGCTGTTTTAGTAAAGTCCCAAACGACGTTGCATAGCTGCAGCCCTCCTTTGTTTTCCTCCCTTGCGTCTTACGGCAAGTTTCTTAGAGGGACTCAAAATGAGAGCAGCAAGCCAGCAAGTGCGGTGTTGCCAGATCTCCTCTCCCACTGTCTCCCATTTCCTGGAGGGTGCCAAAGGGACTCTCAGGCCTCCCGCAACTTGCTAAGGCCTTGTCCACACGAGCGCAGTTCGCAGAACTTATTCCGAGGAACTTGTTCTCGGAAAACAATTTTTAGCTAAGCTAAAAACTTATTCCTCCAAAACCCGGAACTTCCCCCGTACTCCGAGCTTCTATATATCGACGGTGAAACTACCAAACCACGTATCTCGTTTGCGGTGTTTAAAAATCTACGCTCACATTTTATTTTTTTGAAGTAGACCAAATCAATATCATTCCTTGAAATTTTCACGGAATTTTCTCCGCACAAAGAGGAAAAATCACAGAAATTTTCAAGACTGGATGTTAAGTAGTTTTTCATTTAAAAAATAAAGTATGACAGGAAGTCTGCGACGTCGCAAACCGAGATACGTGGTTTGGTAGTTTCACCGTCGATATGTTTCTTTTGATGTGAATTTGTTTGTTTTTGTTTTTTACGTCCTTTACATGTCTTGACATTTATTTTTGTTACTTTAGCGGCCGTAATAATCTATTATTTTGCGATAATTATATAGTTTTATTGAAGTTCCGGTTCCAGTTCGGGCGAACTCGCGTGGACAGCATGCCTCGTTTCAAGGAATAAGTCCGGGAACTGAGAAGTTCGAGGAATAAGTTCCGCGAACTGCGCTCAAGTGGACAGGGCCTTCGGTCGAGCACCCTAGCCTAGTCTCTGGGACCTGGTTACAACTAAAAATTGATTGCGAGTAAAATTTATAGGAAATTGCAAAGGAAAATATGAATATACGTTTGTTAAAATCGCTTTTTATTGGCGTTTTGGAGACTTTTGAGCGTTCATACGGTGTTTTTTTTTTTTTTTTTTTTTTTTTTTTTTTTTTTTTTTAACGCGGCAATACTGCTTCCTATACTGCCGTGCTAAGGAAGAACGCCGTATGAACCTTCAGACGTTGCCAAGTTTCCTCCGACAAAAACCGAATTTACTGGGGGAATTTTGAATATTATTTTCCAAAATTTTCAGACACTATTGTAAGCAATTTAATCTAAAATATCTGAAAATTTCAAGTAAAAAAAACCGGCGCTCCGCGCCAGTTTTTGGGGGGGAGCCCCCCAGGACGCGCGCTTCGCGCGCGTCTTTTCAGGGTCGTCTGCACATCTAGTTTTTCTTCTTTTTAAGTGTCCCGCGCATCCACCGCGGGAAGAAAGTGTATTTCCCGAAGTGGGATTTTTATAGTAGTCATAAAATCGTACGTCTGTAAGTCATTGTGTAATGGATAGTTTTTTTCCAGATATTTCCTTTCCTTGGGCCGCTGTGCGACGAACAGTTCGTCCGAAAACTTTCTTCACCTGACCCACTGTGCGACGGGCAGTTTGTCCAAAATCTTCCTTCCCCTGAACCACTGAGCGACGAAAAGCTTGACCCACAGTGCGACGAAAATTTTGTCCAAAAACTTCCTCCCCCTGACCCACTGTGTGACGAAAATTTTGTCCAAAAACTTCCTCTCCCTGACCCACTGTGCGACGAAAATTTTGTCCAAAAACTTCTTCCCTCTTATCCACTGTGCGACGATCAGCTTGTCCAAAAACTTTCTCCCCCAACCCACTGTGCGGCCCTGCTCCGGCCGGCTCCCTCATGCCGCGCACCCCTCGCCTAAAACTTTCAAAGCTCGCCATTTTTAAACGGCTAGGCCGATTTGGCTCAAATTCAATACCAAACCAGTCCTATGGAAGAACTACCACCCATAAAAATTTCAGCTCAAAATATTCATTTTCGCTCGAGTTATCGAGTGGACAAGATTTGACCTCCCCCCACTTTCTAGCCCCACCCCTCAAAATCTATTGCCTCAAATTATTTTTTTTCGCAGAATAGTAGTTCTAATGAGCCTCTACTAAATGCAAAAAAAATGGTCAAAATATCTTTCAACGTAAGAAAGATATAACCACTCAAAAATCGAAAAATCTTCAAAAGGCGGAAATACATACATACATACAGTTAGTTAGTTAGTTTTATTTAACGACGATCAGCATCATACACATGAATTTGAATGGCATATATTTTCGTGATCTACGACCCGTGATCGGTGCTCTTCACAATGTCTCAGATCTGGGTCCGACATCATGGGAGAATGCAATAGTGTATTTTCTTCGGAAAATACACTAATATGCATAAATGTTGTCAAAAATACAGGTTTTAATTAGGGAAATTTGGCAACTCTCGAATGTTCATACGGCGTTCTTCCTTAGCACGGCAGTATATGAAGATGGAACGACGGATCTTTAAAGATAATTTTAGTCTCACCCCTAATCTTCGGTTTGGATGGGTTAGAGCGGACGCTTTAAGTTTTATTTCTACGTGTTTCCTACTTCAACAACTCGTTTTCTTCAAAGGGAAACGTTAATGTTAAGTTTCTCTGTGACTTGGAATTAGAGACCGGGTGTATTTAGCGGTGATTTAGCGGGCGGTAATGGATCTTTCGAGGGCATTTTCTTGAGTAGATTTGGACGGATGTGGGTGAACTTGCACACGATTTTTAGATAAGAAAGTGAAGCATTCGTTGAAAGCAAATGATATATTGACTTGAGCTGAAAGAACTAAGAACAAAACTAAGAAGAAAACCGGCGCTCCGCTTCGCTCCGCGCCGGTTTTTTGGGGGGGCTTCGCCCCCCAAGCCCCCCAGGACGCGCGCTTCGCGCGCTTTTTAGTTTGAGTGTCCATTCCAGTTGTTTTGTCTTCTTAAGCGACCCGCGCTTCCACCGCGGGAAGAGTGTATTTTCCGGGGGGGGGGGGGATCAATCTGTAAGGGAATTAATTAATTTCTTGAGCACAAGATAGTAGTTGCGTACGTTGCCAGCGAACGCGCTGAGAAAGGTTGCGACGGTTAAATGGTGAGATTTTGTTCAAGAACAGATCATTTAACCTGACCCACTGTGCGACGAACAATTTGTCCAGAATCTCCCTTCCCCTGACCCACTGTGCGACGAAAAGTTTGTCCAAAAACTTCTCTCCCCTGACCCACTGTGCGACGATCAGCTTGTCCAAAAACTTTCTCCCCCGACCCACTGTGCGGCCCTGCTCCGGCCGGCTCCCCTCATGCCGCGCACCCCTCGCCTAAAACTTTCAAAGCTCGCCATTTTTAAACGGCTCGGCCGATTTAGCTCAAATTCAATACCAAACCAGTCCTAGGGGAGAACTACCACCCGTAAAAATTTCAGCTCAAAATATTCATTTTCGCTCGAGTTATCAAGTGGACAAGATTTGACCTCCCCCCACTTTCGAGCCCCACCCCTCAAAATCTATTGCCTCAAATTTCAATTTTTTCTTGCAGAATAGTAGTTCTAATGAGTCTCTACTAAATGCAAAAAAATTGGTCAAAATATCTTTCAACGTAAGAAAGATATAACCACTCAAAAATCGAAAAATCTTCAAAAGGCGGAAATACATACATACATACATACATACATGCATACATGCATACATATATACATACATCCCTCCGACATCTCCAATCACAGATCTACTCCCCTACAATCAACAGAAATACAAACCCTCTTACATGCGATGAACCTAATATTACCACCAAAATTCTGAAACTCTTCACCTCTCTTAATTTAAAAATCTAAATTTTCGTTTATACTCCTATTTTCAAAATTACCTGTAACAACGTTAATAGCCTGAGTCGCTGAATGTCTCAAAATTATAATAACTAACTAACTAACTATATACATACATATATATATACACATGAATTTGAATAGCATATATTTTCGTGATCTACGACCCGTGATCGGTGCTCTTCACAATGTCTCAGGTCTGGGTCCGACATCATGGGAGAATGCAATAGTGTATTTCCTTCGTAAAATACACTAATAAAGCTTTCAGAACAAATTACTATTAGTTCCGACGTCGAACAACAATGCTACATTCAAATACTCGTGACAAAGAATATTACCGAGGACATTCACGTTATGCGTTATCTACATGGAAGCGTTTCAGAGTTGTGTTCTAACTTCAGCGGATATTTTTCACTGAGCCGCGAAGCTTAGAGCAAAATTTTTAGGCTCAAAAAGAACAATTTTAGGAACCATCGACATTTGCGGCAAAAATCACCAACTTCGGCGAAGTGCTCTTTTATTTTCGGGCGCAATTACTGGCATATGCCACCCTAAAAAGTTAGGAGACAGTTCGAAACTTAAAACAGAGGGAAAAGCAGACATGGTAGAAACAAAATTTTCTGGAAGGGACATCTGATAACGAAACTCAAAACTCAAGAGGACTTTAAAAAATTTGCCATGAAAAACTTACCATTTTTGAAAGGTTATTGATTTGCACGAGGAGCCAATCCGGACAATCCGCATCTCCGCAAAATTTGAATCTCTGATAACACAACAAGAAATAGGTCACAGTTTCAGAACAGTTAGAGAACATCATTCAGGGAAATTTCAGAATAATGATTAAAATTATAAAGAACTATTAAAATATTGGAGATATACTCAGAATAGTTGCAAAATCGTGATGTATCTTTTATTTTTCGGATAAAAAATAAATCAACTTTCTACAGGGTGTCCACTAAAACAGGCTGGTCAAAAATCAGCACGTTGTCTCTCTCGTACGTTGTACTCTGGCAAGATCGCTGTCAGTGGCGGTTGGGTGTCGCAGAGCGCACAGAAGCGCTATAATAGCGACTTATTAGTAGTAGTAACAGGGTGTCTACTAAAACAAAAACAGGCTGGCCAAAAATCAGTACTTTTACGGTATTTTTTCAGTACATTCCCAGGAAATTCGGTACCTCCTCGAAAGAAAAATTCAGTCCTTTTGCAGTAGGTACCTCCAATTGACGAAATTCAGAAAAATTCAAAAATTAGAATTTCGTACTCGAATTGCGACAAAAATGACAAAAAAATGAAAAAATTCCGGACCTTCTAGCGGAATTCCGCACTTTTTCAGTACTTCCGGACCGCCCTTAAAAACTCAGTACTATTTCCGTACTTTCCGGAAATTCCGGACTTGTAGACACCCTGGTAGTAGGGAGGCGATTTCAAGATTTTTTAATAGCGCCATCGTTCATTTTGTGAAAATTGCCATTGGAGACAGTTTGGCAATTCGTTGATCCCCGCACCATGCACCCGGCCCATTTGATCTGCTTTGATCGTATGAGCACGTCACCAAGCAAAAAGTTTCTCGAAACCTGGAAACTTAGAAAATAGCCTTCTATAAACCGATGTGTCGATAGTTAGAGTGGGGAAGGGAGGAAGAAATGTTCAGTTCTTGACTAGAGGCAGCTGTATCAGTGGCGTGGCGTGCTTTTATAGATCGATTTTTATGCCATTAAAACCTGGAAAAGGATCGATAAACAGGGTGTCCGCAGCAAACACCTTAATAATCGATTCTTTACCATAGGTTTAAATGGCATAACAATCGATACATCGCAATTCACGCCACGCCACTGAGCTATATCACTTTCGTCGTGCGTTCGCCCAAGCTTTTTTGCTTGTAAGTTTGGCGTCATACTTATTCTTTTTAGAAAGAGATAACACGCTACTACATTTTTTGGAGAGGAAAACTCCTGATCGACATGTCTAATCCGTGTCCGTTACGCAAGTTCGATACACACGTCATTAATGACTTTCCAGTGGCGTGGCGTGCTTTGCGATGGATCCATTGTTATGCCATTAAAACCTATGGAAAAGGATCGATAAACAGGGTGTTCGCAGCGAACACCTTAATAATCGATTCTTTACCACAGGTTTAGATGGCATAACAATCGATGCATCGCAATTCACGCCACGCCACTGTGACTTTCGCGAGCTTTGTATCAATATTTTTTTTTTAAATAAAATCTAACATTTGAAGGTAAAAAGTTGCCAGAGAAGAAAGCGCCTTGACACTGGACGGTGGTATGAATACTGCTCTTTGCTCTTATTCGATTGTTAAATATACAAAACTACGTAACTCCATTCCGGTCAGTGGCGTGGCGTGAATTGCGATGTATCGTATATCGCAGTTCACGCCACGCCACTGATTCCGGTGTTTCAAAATCTGTACACCTGCTTTATTTTTTTGAAGAGAGACAAACCAACTTCATAGCTTGAACAGAGTGTCCAGTTTGTTTTTTTTTTCATTTTGGGAAATCCTGATTTCTCCTGATTTTTGACTGCTACATCCTGATTTCATAATTTTTTCAAATCCTGATTTTTTGCGGAGAAAAATTGAAATTTCTGCATAAGCGTACGCGAAAGCATAAAAAAAATCCGATCGGACAGCCGGCTTTTCTCAAATCCTGATTTCACAACCGATTTTTCCTCAAATCCTGATGACATCGGGATTAAATCCTGATTGACCTTAAATCCTGATAGAATCGGGAAAATCCTGGTGCTAGACACCCTGTTGAAATGTTTACGGAATATTGAATTTAAGACATTGGAAAATACACTATAAAGCGACGTATCGTCATATCGATGGCGAAAGTGCGAAACAAAAAAGTTGATTGTTGATTTGAGTTACTATTATTTGGTTATATTTCTTACCGCTTGTTTATTTTTAATTCTTCTATGAAAATTAACCATTTGCTAAATACAATCATAGCTCAAGCACGCTGATATTATGCTGTCAAAACTGCGATAGCGGGAGAGGAAAGCTGGCAAGGGCAGCGTGAAGGCCGCTGCGATATTAATCTCCCATCCCATTGCTACGGCGCAACGATACAACTATTCGTACTCTCCGGAATGCGTGAGGTATCAAGCCACAATTGAAGGCGTTTTTGAAACCGCCAACTTTCCATATCGCGATTCTTGTGTCGCATTAATAGGGTATCTGGTCTACTAAAACTGGCCAGCAAATATTACTTTTACAGTGCCTACTTCATACCTCCTAAGCAGAAAAGTTAAGTGCTTTTTTAGTACCTGTACATGACGAAATTCAAAAACAGCGAAAATTTACGAGGCAATCGCGAGAAAAATGACGTGGCCAGCAAATTCAAAGCTCATCGGTGGCTTGAGGATAAACTGGCTTTACAATCACGATCCAGCGGAAAAATACTGCACCAAGTATCACTACGCAACGGATCGCATATTCTCCTGGCTGTTTTAAAAAGCACCCGTGGCATGAAGCAAAAAATTCCGGACCTTCATAGGAAATTTCCGTACTTTTTCAGTATTTCCGGACCGCCTACGAAAAATCGATACTATTTTCGGACTTTCTGGACCAATAAACACGCTGGGATAGTTACGCGCTTGGTGTCCGTTTTTACAGTTGCAAAACTGATGCAAAAAGTTTGATTTTATGAAGTGAAAACAATGAAACCTTTGTTAATTTTCGCGTGTAATCCGAAGAAAAATTGGTGAAACTTTCAGCTGGAAACGCCCAATGTCCGCCCTATCAAAACGCGATTTCAGAGGGCAAATTTTGCAACATTGAAACGATGGCCTAAGTGCGAAACCACGTATCTCCGTGTATACAGGGTGTCCCAAAAGTCCGTACCCCCCCCCCTCGTAACTTTTGAACGGTTAGAGATAGAAGAATGAAACTTTGGGAATGTTTCTATATTAAAGAGGACCATCTTCTAGGGGGGTCAAAATTTTTGTCCCCCCCCCTCAGGGGGGGCGCGGGGGTCCCCAACTTTTTTTTTTCAAATGGTAACCCCTATCTTGTGATACATCATTAGAAAGAACATAAAAAACTAAGACTTTTGGCGCAAACCGCAAATCAATATCTTAATTTTTGACCGAGTTATGATAGGTCAAAGGTCAAATTTGACCTTTTTTCAAAAAACCATATCTCCGGTTCACATTATCGTAAAGAAAAAAACAAAACGGGAAACTTTACCAAATTGTAAGCACTTTTAAGTAAAAATCACAGAAATTACTTTAAACTAATTTTATGGGGGGTTTCCGACCCCCAAATACGTCATTTTAAAGGTCACACGATATTCTCGCAAAATGAGCCAATTTCCCCTTACTTTTCCTCAACATTATCATAGTAAGTTCAAAATTAGTTCAACATTGCGTTTTCAAGTCCCCAAATTTCGGGCAAAGTTCAAAAAACGAAATTTAAGGTGATTCAATTCAACCATTGAAATTTCATTTTTTTAAAACTTTGTTCGAAATTTGGGGACTTGAAAACGCAATGTTGAACTAATTTTGAACTGACTATGATAATGTTGAGGAAAAGTAAGGGGAAATTGGCTCATTTCGCGAGAATATCGTGTGACCTTTAAAATGACGTATTTGGGGGTCGGAAACCCCCCATAAAATTAGTTTCAAGTAATTTCTGTGATTTTTACTTAAAAGTGCTTACAATTTGGTAAAGTTTCCCGTTTTGTTTTTTTCTTTACGATAATTTGAACCGGAGATATGATTTTTTGAAAAAAGGTCAAATTTGACCTTTGACCTATCATAACTCGGTCAGAAATTATGATATTGATTTGCGGTTTGCGTCAAAAGTCTTAGTTTTTTATGATCTTTCTAATGATGTATCACAAGATAGGGGTTACCATTTGAAAAAAAAAAGTTGGGGGCCCCGCGCCCCCCCTGAGGGGGGGGGGGACAAAAATTTTGACCCCCCTAGAAGATGGTCCTCTTTAATATAGAAACATTCCCAAAGTTTCATTTTCCTATCTTTAACCGTTCAAAAGTTACGAGGGGGGGTATGGACTTTTGGGACACCCTGTATGTCATACTTCATCGTTTCTTTGGAAAACTCATCGACTTATTTTCATAAAAACTTTCTCGGTTTTTCTTCTTTTTTAGCAGATAATCTGTATCAACTTCAAGCAATAAACTTAGCTTGTTTCACTTCGAAAAAATACAGTAAGAGTGCACATTTAGAAACATCGCAAACCTCGAAGAAATAACATAATCAGGTACGATGTTTCGCAGATTAAGGGCAAGTTAAACATTTGAGGAAGACATTCAGAAAAAGACATTGAGACATAAAAAGACAATCGAGAATTTTTTTAGAAAAAGACCCAATCGGCCAGGAGGGCCGATGACGAGGTCAACCGGAATGGAGATGTTTCATGTGTAAGGGATTTGCGATTTGACTGCCGTTTCTAATGTAAAAGTTCGCGAGAAACACGATGGTGCCACTGGCTTTCTCTGAAATCAACTCCCAAGCTCAAAAAAACCTCTCAAAGTGAGGCCAAAATGGAGGGGATATCCCGCCCTACCCTGAGAGTCCACCTCTACATCAAAACAAACTCTCCATGCAAAGATAGGGAACAAATACATTAGCAGGGTTGCCGTGTTTTCAGTTTTGGAGTCCCCAAATGAAGTGGCAGCCCTGTCAATGTATTTTCTCCCTATCTTTGCATGGAGGGTTTGTTTTGATGTAGAGGTGGACTCTCAGGGTAGG